GGCTGAGGGGAGACCTGATTACAGCCTACAGGTACTTGAGAAGGGATGGTGGGGAAGTAGGGGAAGGGCTCTTTGCATTAGTGATGGGTGATAGGACAAGAGGAAATGGGTATAAGCTTAGTCAGGGAGATTCAGGTTGGATGTTAGAAAGAATTTCTTCTCTGAAAGGGTTGTCAGCCACTGGAATAGGCTGCCCAGGGAGGTGGTTGAGTCCCCATCCCTGGATGTGTTTAAGAATAGGGTGGATGAACCGCTTAGGGACATGGCTTAATGAGGGATTAGGGACGGTTGGACTGGATGATCTCTAAGGTCTTTTCCAACCTAGAAATTCTATGATTCTATGATTCTAATTCTGTTCAAGGGACCTACAGAGACTAGGGTGAGGCTAAAGGGAACTTTACCATGTTACTGCATTTAGTGTTTTAGCATTTTACCTTTTGTGTATCTGGGAGGAGGGAAAAACAGATATTCCTTCAGTCTCAGAAACTTCTTCATATAGCTTTGTACTTCCTGTCACATTGTGCACGGGCTGTGGAGCAGTGTGCCCTGCTTTAACCCGCTGGAGGCAGGCATCAGCATTCCTTGGTGTCATGCTCTTCAGGATGCAGCATCTTCGTGTAGATTTCAAGCAAGAGTTCTTGAAACGGTAGTTTAAGTAATTGCATGTTAATTGCCCATTACATTAGTGTTCCTTAAATAGTTGGGAAGACTTATGGAAACTCTTGCATGCGACCGAGTAAAATTTCAAGTCAAGCTACACGTCAAAGTGTCCTACTTGCAACTTGGAGTACTGTACGATGCACATAAACATGCTATGTATTTTGTAGTGAAGCATCAGTACAATGTAGCATTAAAGTATTTTTTCATAATTGTGTTCCATAACAGAGACCACTAATGAAGCCAAAATGTTTCTTCATGTTAATGAAACATGACTGATTATAAAGTTTTAAATACATGCCAGAATTTACGGTTAAAAAAAAAAAAGTAATCTGAGTAGTTTAGACGATCTTTTACTGTCCAGTTAAGGATTTTCCAAGTGGAAAGTAAAATGCCTTTGGTTGTGCTGTTTTGTTACTTCCAGATGTCTAATACACTGAACCCTGCACTGCCACATCAGTAGTACTCAGGCTGTGGAAACCATGTTGTCATTTATTTATATTACTGTAGCATCATAAACTGGGGCACGTAATTTGAGTTCACCAAACTGAGATTTAGAAATTGAAGACATACACTCGCAAAAAAAAAAAAAAAAAAAGAAAGAAATGCAGTTTCATATCATCAGAGATTGTATGTCCTTTAAAGACAACTCCTCATAGTCTGGAGTATCATTCCTGGAATAGATATTTAGCGTAGTTTAACAAAGCTACGTTTTATTTGGAATACTCGATTAGTTTCTGTTATGATGCTACACTCTACATGTTCCTTTTTGTTTAGTCGAAACAAGACTGTTTGGGCAATAACCAGCTGATTACCAGTCCTAAATACATGGCCACAAGAATCTTACATATTGTGGTTGGGAATCATCAGCTATAAATATGGAACACAGACCACTGGAATCATTTTAATGACCTTGTAAACTCTCTGTGTTTAACTAAGAAATTGTTTCACCGTTGTTTTATTCTTAGAGAGGAAATGGAACGAACCTTTGAAGACAGTAGCTATCTATCGCATGGAAAATGTTCTATTGCTATTTCTGCATTTCAGATTTGCACCAGGCAAGCTGCCAACTAATCTCTAGCACTCTGTTTTTTCTAAGCATATGCTAACTTTTAAAATAAAAATAGTGTATACCAATACATTTCAGCACACTCAAATGATGATAGACTATGAGATTGCCATTGTCAAAAGCTTTTCATAGAAACCTTACTCAGATCCTCTTAGCTGCTAGACTCCATGAAAGGAAATAAAATCATTTAATTATATTAATTATTATCTAATTACTTGTTTTGGTGCCACAGAAGCACCAAGTGTGATCATGACTAGCAGATTATATGGCAAATAAAAGAGGATAAATTCATAACAATCTCTATGCTCATATATAGTTTCTAATCTGAAAAAGGAATAAAGCATTGTCCATCTCTTGCTTAAGAACACCATATTGGAAGTTCATGCCCAAATGATATAAAGGAGTTAAAACCTGACTAGTATTTGCAATTTGGGCTTCATCCTGTTTGCAGTTTCCATTGCAGATCCAGCTCACAGCACAACTAAGACACAAGTCAAGCCTGGGGTGAAATGAATTCATTTTATCTACAAAAAGAAGGAACTCTAAGCTACAGAGGTCACAGTGTCTACCTGTGACCTTGCCAGTAGAGCAGTACTTAATGGTATTAACGCATATGTATTGAGTTCAAAGTAGTGTCTGCAAATAGTCTTGGAAATGTCTTTGTCTTCCAAGGAACAGTAAACATTCCCATGTCCCCCCAGTACTGATATTGAGAATTATTTTTTTTTTTTGTATAGGTTTACAATTTGAATTGAATTTAAGATCCAGTGTCTATTTGCAAGAATGATCCTTCAAGCTTTAATTGCCTTTTCAGGCCCATTTCCTCTGTGATTTGTTACTGCCAGCTAATCTAACCAATGCTAACAAAGGAGAAATTAAACCTGGTAATTAAATGTGGTAATATCTGCCAGCACAGATCTACAGTCTTCATTTGCCACCTTAATTTTTAAGCAGGGATTCTAATAAAGCCAAAAGGAGCCTCAGGGTGTCAGTAGACTGGAGCTCTCACTCAGCATCCAGATTCCCTCACAGGCTTTAACTTGGTTGTCAGAGCAGAGGTCCCACCGTCAAAGTTTGAGGCTTTCATCAAAACCATTAAATTTCTGTGAAATTTAGCCACTGGCATTCTCCAGTAGGATTGTTGTACTGCGTCCTGAGGACTCTCTCTGGCATAATAGCCTTAATACGAGTCTTGCAGTCAGAATTAATACTCTTTAAACAACCACGTACTGCTCTAATGCTTGTTAATCTTATTGCAGAAGCTTTTTCATCTTAGTATCTACCTTTATAGGTCTGCTGGGTCCACATTGCTGTTAGAAGGGATTGCATTCTTAGTAAATCTGGAGAGGGAGGGCTGAAGAGGGTGTTCATACTATCTCTCCACCTCTATTTCCAACAGCTACAGGGTTTGACAACAGAATCTCCCTGCTCTTAGTGAATTCAGTCTCCCCAGGAAGCGAGAGCTACCCTCCTCTCACAATCCCTCTACAGGACCTGTGATATTTTTCCTCAAGCTACTTCCTACCATGCTTCTGCCATAGGCCCCAAATTCTCTCTTTAGCAGAGAGAAACCCTCTGCTTTTAGCAACTTTTTACCTCCAATTGTAAAAGGACTAGTCAAGCATAGAAGAAAAGAGGAAATTTTTCTCTCCCTTAACCTTGTAACAGTATACATACCCTATCAAAAGCTTAATTTCCTCCTAGAACTGCATGTAACTTTGCAAAGAAGTTCTAAAACATGGTGGTTCTGAACTGATGATGGTTTCTTCTCGCTATATTAATGCTTGGTCAAAATACGAGACAGCAGAGGAAACCCAGAGAGTTTTCAATTGATTTCATTCCACGTGTTACTGCAGAGCTGATCTACTGAAACTGAATAGAGATGAGAAATACCGTGTCTAGTTGCTACAGAATAAATGCCAGAAACACTACTGCACTAACAATATTCATATTTTTATTGATATTACTCTATTTTTACTGACAGAAATTCAAACAATTCACACTACTTAATTTAAAATGTACTTATACAACTTAAAATTTTTTGTTCATTACCTCATGATTGTTCGCAAAGTGAATGCCAATAAGAATGAAAACGGTAAGATCAGGGCCTATATATCCAAAAATTAAAACTCCAAAGGTTATATGAAATGTTTTACATTTTCTTTGAAGAAAAGTGTTCATTCATAGTGAATTGTGAAATAGACAATGGTAGAGTAAAAATCTGATTATGAAACCCCTTGACTGTGAAACATATAGAAAACAGACCATAGTTCTTGCATGTCAGTATCTACCTTACTTGTATAAAAATCAGGCCCTCGGAGTATGCAGAACCTTATGTATGTGTTGAAATAAGTCAGTGTTATCTTGACTGATAAGGAATATAAAAAGAAGAGCTGGTTCTGGAAAATTAACCTAAGGTGAAGAAAAGGTATTTTTCCAAAGTATAATGATGGAAATGGCAGGTATACATTTTTTTAAAAGAAAATTTGCTGAAATTTCTTTGTAATTCAGATATGCAGAGAGCATAGAAAAAACATACTCAAAAGTCAGCATTACTCTCCTTTTTATAATTTTCCACTAGTTTCGAGATTGTATAAGAGGCAGTTGAATAAAAGTTGACAAACACTAAGCTTCATCCGTTTTCTGAAAACTCTGTCTTAAGACCTTCTTACTCAAGTGGTAGCACTACAAATGCTGACATTTCATAGTTAAAAGGAATAACTGCATTATGGAAATATCTAATAAAGTTTTAAGACTGAACTGTTCAACTGAAAATGAAAGGTATTTATGATGCAGTGATACGTTAGCCCACATAATTGCAAGAAGAGAGATATTTCTGGTTTTGTAGGTTAATGGAAATATGGATTATAAGTTCTCCGAATTTTCATTGAAACTGATTTAATTTTGACTAGTTTATTGTTCATTGTCCATGTATCCCAGTGAATCCCAGTTGCAAGAAATCTACCTGTATAGCGATGAACGCCGTTAAGATTTGCAAGGCCACACTGGTTGAACCACCACCCAGTGTTATCACTGAAGTTACTGCAGCTCTTTACAGGTTGTTCATTAATAGTGCACATTGGCCTGCATCCATCATTATCAACATCAAACGTGCTGAAAGGCATGGAATTCTGGTTATCTTCTTTTCTATATCCTCTAAATGCATCACCTACGTACAATAGATAAAACAGAAGGATGAAAGAGTTACTTATGGAGAAACATAACATTTCTTACTTGTTGAATACCTCACAAACTTTTCCTCTGAATTTATTAGAAAAATAAATTAGAAAAATAAAATAACTATTTCTTCAAAAGCAGTTCAAGAATGAGCTGGCAATGTGTTAAAGACGTAGGAAAGAAAAAGTATAAATTACTTGAGAAGGGATGGTGGGGAGGTAGCGGAAGGGCTCTTTACATTAGTGATGGGTGATAGAACAAGAGGAAATGGGTATAAGCTTAGTCAGGGAGATTCAGGTTGGATGTTAGGAAGTATTTCTTCTCTGAAAGGGTTGTCAGCCACTGGAATAGGCTGCCCAGGGAGGTGGTTGAGTCCCCATCCCTGGATGTGTTTAAGAATAGGGTGGATGATCTACTTAGGGATATGGTTTAATGGGGATTAGGGACGGTTGGACTGGATGATCTCTAAGGTCTTTTCCAACCTAGAAATCTATGAATCTATGAATCTATGAAATACTGAGAAGTATGGAAGAAGTTGGAATTTCATGAAACATCTTTATATTCTTGTTGCTTTTAGTGACACACACCGGCTACGAACATAAGGCTTCTGACCTCAAAGACAGTGCTAGAAAAGGTAAAAGAAACAAAAAGAGTTGTTAACTTCAGATTTTCCAGTAATGTGCCCAAAGCTCCAGAGTGAGTCATGAGACAAAATGGAATTGTTAAAACACAGAGGCCAGTGATTACTGATTCTGTGCTCTTACCAGAGAAATATTGTTCCTTACAAATACAGGTAGAGTAAAGCACCACCACATTTAAAGAATAACTATTACGAGGGTAAGGAACTTTCTTGCACATTAGTGAATATGAGGTGTGATAGTTTGATGTGGGGTTCTCGTGGCAGGAGAGGGGATTTGCTCCCTGTGCCACCAGATCAGA